CTATGACCTGGATTTGGGAATACTGTACGTTCAGCCTTCTCTTTAGGGGTTACCTAATAGCCAGATTATCATGCTTAATGCCATTAATATGATTGACGTAGGGCTTATTAGGATAAATGCTTGTTCAACTAAAATATGAACTGCAATGCTGGTGCTGATACCATTAATATTAAGGTGTATTCGTACCGTACATAACCACTTCTGTGGACACTTGGCCTTAAAATTTTACCATTATTCTTGATACGTCCAAGATTAGACACTAAATTTGAAGCAGATGCTACTTCATAGGAGGACTTTCACATGATTGGCCGATAATGTTAATGATACACGAATTTTCTAATTGATATTTTAAATATTTATACATGTCACGTGATATCGGTCTCCCCTAATTTTTAGGCAATTGCTAATAATTAATATTAAAATATTTTTTTAAATAAAAAATTTATTATTATAATAAATAAATTTTTATCTACTTTTGTATGCACTTTTAATATATAATAAAATGTATTTATAAAAATCTTTAAATTGATATTTTAAAATTTTTTAAAATTTATTTTAAATAAAAATTCAAATTAACGAAATCACGTGGTCAGCAAGCATTACATATGCGCAGTAAAAATTAATAAATTTAACCATTACACAAAAATTTATCATGGGAATTGCAATAAATTATAAGATCGGCATAATGCATATAACAATTTTTATATTAAAAAGGGTCAGTTGTTAACATTTATATATATACTAATATCATATTCTAACAGACATAGCCTTTTGAAATTTTAATATAAAAATAAGTAAGTATTTTACTTTCTAAATATTAATTTATTAATGCTATCATAACAATAGTTTTAAAGAATCTTTGGTTTGAAATAAAAAAAATTTTTTGTGACGTGGTAAATTAAAGTTTATATACATTTTATTACTAACTAAAGATGTAGCATGCACTTATAAAGTTACACATAACATAAATTCTGATGATAAATATTCAAAATTGGTATTTAAAATTTAATTTTAACTATTAACGTTAAACGATCAATAAATTGTCTGATTATCATCATAATTAATTAACTAAATTAACTTATCATTTATGCCTTATCTTTTCGCATGATATTTAGACAAATTAATTTCTATTTTGTGCATAAAAATTTATTTATGACTATATGACATAAAGTGCATTATTTATAAAAGGATAATAATTTTTAATGTTAAAAGAATCTCATTGAAATTTTACCTTGATGAGCGATTTTTCAACCTTTGTTTTTTTTTGAATTTTATTTTGACAATTTTATTTTGACAATAATGATATTTAGCTTGGATTAGTTTGTCAGTTAGAATTTTTTTTAGTTTTAGTATCGCTAGTATTTTATCATTTATTAAATCAAAAAAAACTCCTTTCTCAAATAAATAACTGATACTTTTGCGAAATGCTAAATTGATTTTTTTGACAAACAAATTACTAAGCTAAAATAAACCACTTTCCTTATTTTTAATTGTAGTTTTTTTAATAGATATACTCATTATTCCTTTTTTTTTATTGATGATATATATTTAGTCAAGACAATTATCTCATTTTACAAATTCATCTTTTGCTATGTCCAATACAAACTTACAGGAAACTTTTAACAATTTTGATTATATTCTTAACAATTATAATGAAGATTTAGAGAATATAATTTTTGCTGGAAGTTTCACATCAGAGAGTGTTGCCGAAAGCATTGAAAGCAATAATAACAATGATTTATTAAATTATGATATAGAAATGCCTTTTCTTTTAATAATGACAATTTTGAAAGAGCAAGAGAATTTGTAGAAAAGGACGTAAATAAGAATATATCTTTATTAAAAGATATCAATTATAATACTGATTTCGATACTAAAACAGATATTAATACATCAACTTCAATATTTGATTCAGAATCAACAACGTTAGGATCAACTTACAAAGACGAATATTATTAAAAATACAACAAATGTCAGTGAATCATTATCGGTATGTCCAATTTTAGATGTTATTGATAGTTCCATCTAATACTACTCAAATCATTCAAAAAACATTCCCAACTAATTGGGTTTGGAAGATCAATCCAGAGATTTTTCAAAAAGATAATGATTTGTTAACAATAGGCGTGTGTCACTCGCATTTCCTTTATGATCAAAATCAACTTCATATTCCACGTGTTAAGAATGTACAATCAATTAAAAAAAGTTGGATTTTTTGTAGGTGTTGTTTATTTTGCAACAAATATAAGCATTTTTTAGTTGAGGCGGAACTTGTATACAGCATCCGAGACATGTTTTTAGAAAAAATATTCAAATTTCTTGTGCTGGACTTAGGATTTGCCCTGTATTTAAACAGAAAATAGAATCAGAAAATATTATTGATAACAGTAATCAAGAATCTGAATACCAATCAGATACATATGTTCAGAATATTTTATTACACATAGTGAACATTTTTATGAGCGAAGAGGTTGTGGAAATATATTAAATTTTAAATATACAGATAAGCGTAAAAGTGATTTAAGCGAAGCATTTCGAATTATGAGTCGCTGGATTTTATCTATAGCAGAAATTACCAATGAGAATAAAAAAAATAATCTTTTAGTATGTTTAACTTCTATGCTTTCAATATTTTATGATACCAAATCTTTAACAAATGCTAGCCTTCTTTTTGTGAAAATAGCTTTAAAGTTAGGATACTTTAGCATAACAAAACTTATAAATCAAAAATATGAATTCACCTCTGAAACAGCTACACATTTTGGCAAGGAATTGGCAACTGTAACATGGAAAGTACGACATAAAGTACAAGAAAATAAAACCAAACTTGAAAATCCAAAGTCATTAATAGATTATTAGGATAGTTTTCCTTTATGTCTAGCAAATTTTTTTAACAGACTTATTGAAACTCTGCAAAAAAAAAACATGAAATATTAACAAAAAAAAAGAAAGCAAAGGGGTCTTTCATTAAAGAATTTTGATATAGACTATGTAAATAAAATAACTATATTTTTTATCTCAATAGTATTAAATATTGCATTTCCAGATACAAACATTTGGTTAACTCATATTATGAGCTCGCTTTGCCAAAAACCAAAACTATGAAAGATTGTTAGAAAAGATTCGTCAGCAAGATGTAAAACCTGAAAGTAGACTATTATGAGATGCAAACATATGAAATATATCAGTAATCGACAATATAGATTTTATAAAACGAAATTTTCATATGGAAATATTTTTGATATCACGCGTAGAAGCATACATGCTACTTTAAGGATAGTGTTTCAATTTTTATGCCTATACAACTTCAATATTATAATCCAATAGATGTTAGAAGTTCTATTAGAGATGACTAATCTATATTTGGCATTTCAGCTTTCACAAATAACCTTCTTTCACTTTATGAAAAACGTTTCAGAATTTTTTAACTATACGCATAGATGACTGTGATGCAGAAAGTATTCTTAAAAACATTGCTAAAAAAAATACCATTAGAAAGTAATATATCACAGCCAAATGTTATTATACTTAAGCTAAGTGACAATCTAAATTGCAATGCAAATATACATAATGTATGTGATTTATATTATGATGATATAGGAATAAATAACACTGACTATTTAGATATTGTATATGATAAAGCCATTTTTCATCAATTAATTTTGTATAAAGAAAACAATAGTGATAAGAAAGTAAGACCCTTTTAGACCAATAGCATACTTTTCGTAATATGTGCATTGCATTGGTAAATATCTTCTCAGGTTATGGTATTACTAATATGGCTGCAAATATGAATGTATAATTTCTAGATAAACTAGAAAAAGTTATAGACTACCAAACTACATGTTGAGTTTTAAAATTAATTTGGATCACCGTTAAAATTGCAATATTTAAGTATTTACGCAATAATAATCAAACTATAAATGATATTGAAAGCGGGAATAATAACATTCTTAAAGTTTGGTATCATTATCTATATTGGGCCAGTTATTGGATAGGACACAAAATTGGTATTAGTCGAGAAAACTATGAAATGCAAATAAGGAATCTTGCGGCATTTTTACCTTTATTTCCAGTTACCGGAAAGGGTAATTATGCCAGATCAGTCACATATTTTTTGTTATATATCGAAGATGATTCATATTTTTAAGAATTATTTAAATGTGTTTGTTCAGTAAACCTCATTGGTCCTAGACACTACTTCGCATTTGATGAAGCATTGAAAAGGTTTGGCGTCAAAAGTTCGTAAAATAAAATATTGGAGGAAAGGCAATGAATAATGAAGAATTAAAGTTACAAATAAGCTCTGTGTAGTCAAAAAGAGAGTGATTAGATTTACTAATATCAGAATATATAAGTGATATAATTGTAGCTAGTGAAAAATGAGTAGTAAAATCCCAAAAGAAGGTATTATAGAAATTAGCTAATAAGTTGCTTTCTGCTTTTTCTTTAATAGATCCAAAAACACATCAGCTTTTTTTTAAATGTATAAGAAATAACTTCAATAGGGTTTTCAAAAATATTTACATGTTATGATCTTGTCATAGTCTGACTTATTACAATTCAACATCAGGATGTTTATAAAATCGATTCTCGAAATACACAAGGCCATTGTAAATGAAATATAGTAGTACATAAATTAATGTCTTTATCAGAAAATAAAAAAGAAATAAAAAGATAGCAAACTTTAACGGGTGATCAGATTGAAGATAATGTAATACAAAAACAAGAAAGATTAATTAATGTACATAAACGTCAATGTAGACGTACTACAGATAATGAAAAAAAGCTGTTAGAAAATTTGCTTAATTTTGATTCTTTTTCCAAAGATACAGATAGCTATTGAAGTTTTAGGAAAACTTCAAGATCTTTGCAATGATTGGGATATGCAATAGGTACGAATTTATTGAAATAATCATCATAAGAAAAAAATTTCTAGTTCTATACCTTTCTAGTATATGGTTTATAGAAACATAAATTTGTTTTTTTATTAATTTTTATTTAAAAAATTGTTATAAATAAAATTTTTTATTAAAATTATGTGACGTTTTTTATTTTTTTAAAATGATTGCATTTGTTTTGTAACCTTAACGTTAATAATTCAAATTCAAATTATTTCTCGTTATCGTTATCGTTATTAATATTTTAATTAAAAGCAATGTATTGACCATTTTAAATTTAAAATGAGATATTATATCGATATTTATATGTATTATTATTGGCTCTACAATTTTATTTAGTAATAAAATGTAAGTTTAAAATGCTAATTTTGAGTTATATATTAAAATACTGTAAAAAATACCAAAATAAGCCACAAAAATTAGATATAAATCTCATATATTAATTATAAAAATATATAAATTTTATATTATATGTAATTTTATTAGCTATATTTATTTAATTATTGACAAAAGATAAATTTAGAATATCAATTTTGAGTTTTATATAGATTAACTGCAAAATTACTGTATTGTAAAAAAAAAAATATTTTTAATATTTTATTTGAAGATTCTTTAAAACTATTGCAATTACAATATAAATAAATTAACTTTTTAAGACAATAAATGTTAGATTATTATAATACTAAAATATTAAAACATTATATTTAATGAAATATAATGTAATATATATTAATTGATATATAAAAATTAGTATATAGCCTTTTATATATATATAAAATATTTTTAATCCTACTTTAACATGTGTTATCTTACTATCTAGTGATTGGATTTTATTGAAATTTTATTTATTAGATTTGCCTTATCAAGTAAAACTAAATTCTAGATGTTTTATATTACTGGATTTGTATTTATTATAGTATATTAATTTAAACATTATTTATATTATCAGTTAATCTGATTATTAAATATTAATGATTACCAGCTTATTTAATAGATCTTAATAAGATGAGTTTAATAGTTATTATTCATAAAATTTGAAGCATTACTTGCCAAAATATCTCAATTCAAAATTTTTTAAGCATTTGTTGAGACATATCACGTGACTGATAAGTATAGTATTAATTTTATCTAGTATATATAAAATTCTAATTCTTCTAATTTTTTAAGTAATAGATAGTATTTGGAGTATTTGGCTATAATTAAGACTAATTTTTTAGCTATTAACTAATTTGTCAAATTAGTCAAATAATTAGCCAAAATCTGTAACTAAAATTCAATTAGCATTTAATTATAGCTATTAGCCAAATATTATAAAATCATATTATAGATCATATGATTTACTATATCTCGTGACTTGATTTTATTTGCAACGTTCCCATATGATTTTACTAATTTTTGACTAAATTTTCTTCTACAAATTAGCTAAATATAATTAAATAACAGATAAAATAATAGCTAAACATTCAGAATAATAATGCTTAACAAAATCAAATTTCTTAATATGATAAAACTGGCAAAATTAAAATAATGAAACTAGTTTTTTATAAATAACAAAACTATTTTACTTAAATACCAAAATTATATTTAATTTTATCTGAATTCTTTAAATTAAAATACATTAAAAAATATAATAATTTTATATTTATTTATATAAAATATAAAATATTAAAAATAACAAATCTTTTTAATAAAACTACTTTATTCAAAAAAAGTTTAGGTAGTAATATTACTAATTCAGAATTATACATAAAGTCAGAAAATCCAAAAGTTAAAATATTTCACTTTAAAGATCAAAATTTGAAATAAAAGTTAAAATAATTAAAATCAATACAATTATATCATATTATTTATTATATATTATTATTTAAAAATATGATATTAAATTTTAGGTAAAAGATTAAATTTATTA